CCATTCAAGTACGGTGCCAGATATTCCGAACATGTCCGACAAACGACTCAACATGATGTTGTGGTCTAAAGTATCAAATGCTGCAGACAAGTCTAAAAGTGAGAGAATGGATATCAAATCCTCATCTGCAGCATTGAGTAGATCTGAGACTATTCTGAGCAAAGCAGTCTCAGTACTATGGTTTTCTCTGTATGCCGATTGAAATGGCTCAAACAAGTTATTCTTTGTGATGTGATCTTCAAGTTGTGCAAGAACAACTTTTTCCAAAACTTTGGAAAGAAAAGGTAAGTTTGATACTTGACGGTAGTTCTTTAGGTCATTAGGGTCAAGGCCAGGCTTTTTAATCAGAGGTGAGATATATGCTGTTTTGAAGCATGGTGGAACTGTACCCTCGCTTAATGATGTGTTTACTATTGAAGTTATAACATTAATAACATCGTCAATATGACTGTGCAATAAGTCAGTAGGCATTGGGTCTAAATGACAGGATTTTGGTGGGCATGCCATGACAGTGTCTTTCACAAATTCACGACTAACTGACTTGAACGTTTCAAGAGGTCCACCATTAAATTAATGGTTCAGACATTGGGATGTTACTTGTTTTGTCCTCTGAGTCTAATCCTTGCCGAATTTGGTCAACCTTGTCTACGAAAACAAACATAACATTAATACGTTTGAGGTTCCAGTTTAATTTTTTTTTAAACGAGAACATTCTTTAGTCTTTTTCATTCTTCACTTACTGTCATCTTTTGTTTTTCAAACTGGCTTCACTTGGTTTCTTTACGAGCACCTCCCGACTAGATGGCCAAAAAGTGTCCTTGAACAAACAAACAAATTGAAAATAATATTAAAGAAATATTTTTAAAGATGACAGCAACAACCAAGACGAGGATTACAAAACAATAAATATAATTATGTTCTCCCCTGATATCGTGTTCCTCTTTCGCTGTTCTTTGTTCTTCAAATTCTTTCGTTATCCTCCACGTCGTTCTAGCACAGGTTATTGTTTATTAAACTGCCTTAGCACAATGAATTTCAACTGATCTAAGCTAGGCTACGCCACTAAGATCGTTTACATGGATTTTCTACCCTGTCCACGCAGGCGCTAAATGAAATGAAAAAGCCGACAGACTGGCTGATGAGGTCACCTCAGGTTGATAGCACGGTTCAACAAGACAAGGTCGAGATCCTGAAATTTTTATGTCTCTCTCGCCACCTGATCGAAGAGGAAGATAAGGAGGCAGAGGCCCGTACTGCCTGCTGTGGAGAGGATGATGGTTTTGGGAGTAGATCTACAGAAAGGAAGCGAAAAATCTGGTACTCTTGCGGGAAAGAACAGAAGAACGTTCAACCAGATATGCACTGGCACAATCAACAGAAAGACCCTCAGCAACATTTTGGAAAGAGCAACGGAGCGCAAATGGACGTGTTCGGAATGCAAGGATGTTGCTTCCTGAAACAATAGAACATTGAAAGCACAATGAAAGGTTAACCAACAGGGTGTGATTTTTCGGGAGAAGAGAATACATACATCAACATAATATTTTTACATAGAACAAGTATATCTTTGAATGACGTTAGATCTGATGAAATCGTGAATTCCTGACGAAGCAAACTTTACAGGAAAGGCAAAAATCGTATTTTCTCCGTCATTTGGCGCTCAAGACATAATAATATACTAAATAGATAATTCTAATAAATTACCTTTTAGAAATACTTTTTGTACATTAAGTGGTCATTTTTTCGAAAAAGTGTGGGATTCACGATTTCCATTTTCGAATCTCTCCTGATGCGGTCATGAATTCCACACAGATGTGGAATTCACGTTTTCATCAGTAGGCTTTTTGAAACGGTGAGTTGTATTCACAGTTATTAGACAGTGTGTTTTCTCTTTTTAGAGGCCCTGATATGTTAATAATTAATATTTGACAACATGCAATACTTTTATACAAAAGATTTTAGCAGACAAATTTTAAAATGTGTATGAAATTAACAGACTGAGTGAAACAAAAAGCTATTCATTATTTTACCACTATAAACAACTATTATTCTTACATGAATGGGGTATTGTATTGTACTTTATGAAGTCATAGATCTACTTCATTTGCGTACTCTCTATCTTTTTCTATATAGATCTAATATCCTTCTTTCTCCAATTGTGTGTATGTTCTTTTTTTATTGGGCTGTGGGGAGGGGGGGGGGAGAACTTGACTTTTATCAAACTTCTATACCCCAGGAATGACTGAATGATCATCTTTCATTGTTTTGCCCTGTTTGTCTCTCACTTCCTGAAAATTACTCTTTGCAATTTTTAAAGGAGAATTATACAGTGGTGGGTAGCTTTTTGTTAAGTTATTTTCTTTGTCTCTGGACTTTAGAAGACCCTCCCACTCTTCGTTGGGAGTTCAGTTTGTAAGAATTTCTCCTTATGCATATCAGAGGCTCCATATTGCACAAACAGTTTGGTCTTTTTTTTTTTGTTGTCTACCCACCTGACAGTTTTGGGGACTGCAATTTGGGCAAAATCATGGAGGAAGATGTTATCCACAAATTTTACTTCGTTGATAGAATTATAAAAATTACAGTTCTGAAAATGGCGGCACAATCTAGTTAGATGAACATTTTTGTGTTTTATTTAAAGCCACCGCTCAACGACGCCGTGCATGCTATCTATTTGCATATGAGTGTGGCCTTTAATAAGATTTTGTATTCAATGTCGGAGTTTGCTTTAGTGGAAAAGGCATTCATGTTCATGGCATTAGAAATAGATGCAATTTTGTGCTCTCACAAACAAACACACACACACACACGCACACACACACACACACACAAACACACATACACACCCAAAGCTGTAATTTATTATTATTGTTATAATCCTCTATGCATTTGTGCACGCTGAAAAAATGTTGATCAAACAACTTGTGAATTTATTTGCAATGAAACCACTTTGTGCCTCGAGTCATAGGTAGTAGATGGCACCATAGGAAGTCACATTGAAGATCATGTGTATGCTTTTAAAACAAGAGCTGGAGGAATAGATAGACAGTGCCAAAAGCACACACTGAAGATTCATGCAAATCATCAGAAGCGGGTCTTCTTGCCTAAGAGCAAAGGTTTTTATCAAAGGCATACCCTTTCTTTGTCATTTTCTTTTCTGACATGTGAGATTCCTTGTTAGTTTGGCTGGCGTTGTCAAGACTCAAAAATCACGCATAATTCACATTGATCTTTCTTAGCTCTTAGATCGAAATGTTTTGTTCATCTAGCACATATTTTTTAGTAGCCTGGCATACAAGGCATATTGTCCCTGACCTGTGGAAGCTGTTTCGTAAAAACAATGAAGCTCCGACATATTACAAAATCAGGGATCAAGATACAGTTTTCCCGAGCTTTGCTGGCAATACAGAAATAGGTGGAGGGAACCTTCCGAAGCATGTCCACAGATATGAACAGTGGGTGTTGGCAGGTGCTCAGGTGTGGTTGGCTTCTTCTTTCCTATCAAACATCTATCGTCCTTATCTCCCCTCCTTCTTTTTATGTTTGTTACTCTCTTGTAACACCTCTAATCTTCTGTCGCTCATATGACCTTATGCAGTTGCGAGCCCCGTAAAACATCTACTAAAACAAAACAAGATGTGAACAGAAACTCCTTGGCTTACGCGCCCCTTGTGGATTGTTTGATGGTGCAGTTGGGTTGAGCTCTTCTAAAGAACTCTTTACAAAGTGCTGGACTGCTGGAGGATCCAGGATGTCATCAACAAGTGCCTGAGGAAGTTCTTCAGGATCAAATTGACAGACAGAATCACAAATGAGTAAGTATAAAGCAGAAGAGTTTAAGACAGAAGAAAGCAGTAGAGATGGATTGGGCTGAGCATACCATCTGGAAATCAGGCAGCTATATAACAAAAAAAGTTTAAACGTGGGAGTCCACAGGTTAAACGATAAAGAGAAGACCATACGTGGAGCCTGTAGAAAAATCGCAGAGAATGATAAACAGAAAAGTGGAAAGACATTTGAAAAATATTGAAGTTAGCCCAGGGTAGGGAATAATAGAAAGTGTTTGTCCGTAACGGGTGAGCCAGGCGATGGTGCAACTGGCATGGGCTCTTCTAGAGCAATTTATAATGGATGAGCCCGGTCATAGATATCAAAACCCTGTAAACTTTGATCTTCTGGTCACTCTATTTCAGATAATATACCCAACAGTGTGTCTTTCAGCTTGGTGTATCGTCTTTGCTTAAATTGTACTCTTTTGTGTTGAAAAGACCTTCAACATATTATATGGTCTTTCTGTCTCCCCATGTCAAAGTTCAAGCAAAGACAAAGATAGGGGGCTCTCGTGGGCTAGATGTTAAGGTGTTCGCCTCTCATTCAAAGGTCCTGGTTTCGAATCCGGGTAGCGACTGCAAAATTTTCTGTTCTAAAATTGTCTCCTTTTACCTCTTTTCCTGCTCTCTAGCATCTCTTTTGCCCACTCCGATCTGGGCTCCTGACTCTTTCTGCAGCCTGTCCACTGCTTCTTCTTGGCTCCTTCTTACAGCTGTGTTTCACTTCAGCCAAAGATCTACACCTAGCCTTCTCGGACAAGGGTGACACATTTCGGAGGTCCCGTGTGTAAGTTGCGCACGTTAAAGATCCCTTGGCGGTCTAAAATCGATAAGAGTAGCCACCCGGGCAAAATTCAAAATTACTGAAATTTTTTAATTGGTGCGTCCCGCGCGGCCATGTCACCTTATGCAGTTGGGAGCGCCTTAAAACGCTTAGAATATAGATCTAGATCTACAAAAAAAAAGGAGAGGTCATTGACTCGTTTGTGTCGGTTTGTGTCATTTGTTGTCCAAAATTCTGGCTCGCTCAAGGGACAAGGGCACGTACGTATTCTAATTTATTGTGTCGTTATATATAACTTTTTAAAAGGGACATCTTTTTAATGTTACAGTAACAAGTAAAAAGTACTCGATCATGACATAATATAAAATATCAACTTCCGCTTTCTCCTTTCGTTCTCTTTTGCAATAGCAAGACGACACCTTCAAGCGTGTTGGGACAGTTTGGTGTCAACATGGGGAAGTTAAACGTGAACGCTCTTCGATACATGACTCGAGAGGACTTCAGAGTATTAATTGCCGTAAGATATATCGTTCTATTTCTTTGGTTTCTGGTTGACCGTCTTCACATTTTAGATTATCTTTTACTTTGAATGATAAAGACAAGAAGACCACACTATTTTACAGACGGACCTTTTACTTCACTAACTACAGAAGTCTAGAATCCACTATTCTTAAGTTAATCATCTAATCTAGATTAGATCTAGAATCTAGATCTAGATCTATCTAGAGTACGTTGCTACTATGTGGTTAAACCTTGATATCAACCACAAATTGAAACCCACGTCTTAAAAAGATGTCACAGAATGATCTCCCTTCTTTGGCTGGTACTAGAATCTAGGCAACTGCCAGATTAATTCATTTGGTATATGTGAAGGGTGCTGACAAAATGAGTTACTTCTCGCGATCCACAAACAGAAATATTGGCCAAAAGTCCACATTATAGGGTCCGATTAGTAGATTTTCTATTGATGCCACATTCTTTTTGTGTAAGGTGCGTTTTATTATTCCATACTTATGACTTATAAATTGTAAAAGCTTCCCCCAATTAAATATCAATAGCGTGAAGTATCTATTTCCATAAGGCTTGGATCCGAGAAGTAACTCATTTTGTCTGCACGCTTCACATAGATCTATATGTTTACTCGATTAGACATCACATTTGGTGAGGCTCAGAGTCAGAGTTGCCCTTTTCCGGCCGCCTATTCGACTATTTGCCTCTTACGAGCCACCAGTTTCCCGATACCGGCCACCAGTAAAACTCACGCTAGATCTATAGCATCGTTATTTGTTTTTTTTTAGTTTTTTAAATCAACATCTAATCTAGTTAGCGTTTTTTTGTAACTATGAATAAAGAGAGAGGCCGAAGAGCTACCAGGGAACAGAGAATATGAAAACAAGTAACAACTCCACAATCAAAACATGTATTCTCATCGTACTCATGCAATATCCGCTCAAAAACCTCTGCACACTCTTCCCTAGAGCTGTCCATGTACTGGACGCCAACAGAATCAGATTCACTCTCACTCTCAGCTACATCGAGCACATCAGCCCTTCTCTTCTTTACGGACTTTCCCTTTTGCTTCTCTTTCCTTCTCTTTGGATCTTCTTTCTCTCTTTCTCGGCCTCTTTCTCTACCGCATTCATTCTTTTTGCTGTTTCCCTTTCTAGCCTCTTTTTCTCTTTCTCAGCATCCTTTTCCGCCTTCTTTCTTAGTTTCTAGCCCTCTCTCTCTCTCTTTCTTTCCTCGATGGCTTCTTTCTTGTCTCTTGGGTTTCCATCGCCAATAATTGTTGACTAGATATATCTAGATTCTAGATCTAGATCTTGCTATGTTTGTTTTTTTGGAAGGAGTTCCGCAGAGGGCCGGCCGACCAATAGCACACAAAAGAGGGGGTATTTTGAGGGCCGGGTCTATTTCTTCGAATGCTCGGGAAAATTAACCTGAACTCTATTTCTCCGAACAGTTTCTATTCTCTGGATTTTTTGGTTAATTATTTGCGGATGGAGTGGCCCGTGCGTGTGGTGTGTGTAAGGTGTGAACGGGAGGGGGGCGTGGATGGTTTTTAAAGTTCCTTTTTTTAGTCTTTGCCTTAGGGGTGACTAGGTTACTGCCAAAGTCGAGCAGTCTTGTTTCCTCGTAATGCCTTTTGAAGGCAATTTCAAATGAAGTATAGTACGGGAACGTTCCCTCTCTATCACAATCGAAGTATCTGAATATTTAGACATCTAAAAATCTCTAGCTGTTACAGCTGCTGTAGAAATTGAATTCAATGCAAAAAATGCTTCTTTCCTAGTCCTCGCAGAATGACTGAATGACAGATGATGCCAAACTCTCGCAAATAACCAAAAAATCTTGAGAGCGAAAACGGTAAGGAGAAATAGAGATGAGGTTTAATAATAAGGATTATTTTCCTGAGCGTTCGGAGCAATAGTCACTTCGTATTTTGAGCGGGGTATACACCCTAAATCTCAACCATAACCCTAAAACTCAACCCTATCCCTAACCCTAACTCTGGTATAATTTGTTCAGTTGACCTTGTCACGGTAAGTGCTGGCCCTCTGCGGAACTCCTCCCATTTTTTTGTATTAATTTGTGTTAGGCTATCTTTTATAAAAAAATCTGGTAAATTTTTACTTTCACTCCCGCACACAGATGCACTGTTTCAGGGGTCAAACTGCTGTACTGTTTGCTGCAGATCACACATAAAGCCACTAAAACTGTCGCAAATCAATTATTTTCAAGACAATTTCAAATCTAACTGTAAAATATCAAATTATGGGTGTAAAAACAGGGGGGCATGCCCCCCTGTAACCCCCCAGATTTTCTTTTACCCCAGTGGGGCAGGCCCCCCTGGAACCCCCCCGATTGGTCCAAAGCATGTCTATCTCGGTTAAAAACAATCAAATATTTCAAAAAACATTAATTTGCAACGGAAATGAAGTTGATATTCGTGTTCAGCGCATCAATATTTAGTAGAAAATAGACAACTGGTAGCTGAGTGTGAGACGGGAGGGAAAGTAAAAAAATACCAAAAATCTGAGCATCTCTTTTTCTGTAAGTTTGCCTTCTCAAATTTGTTCACCCACATGCACACGCACACACATACAGTACACACAAGCGCATACACACACGCGCGCGCACTCACACAGTCCAAGCAGTCGACAATGACACCTCAAGATCTAGTGTCATAGCCCATCGTGCAAAGCGTGCCCCGCCACGGTGAGATCTAGTCAACTGGCGAGGGAAGCCCCGGAACATGACAAAAATAGATGACGAATTTACGTCATCTATATTTGGGCCAATCACAGGAGTGTGCTAGGCGCTCGCTGTAGCTTCATGTCTTCTGTTTAGTTAATAGTCTGTAGACTAAAATAGGATCCCCAGGGCAGTGCCACTGACTGAAGTGTCTTTTGGCAGGCCATTCCCAAAGGGGGGACATTTCTCATTCTAATGCACAGTAGAATTGTAAATGGGCTGATCCAACAATGTCATTCTCATTACTGTGTCCGAACTACAACAGGGAACTGCTGCTTTATACTTTATCTTTCCTAATCCTTACTATCATCATTTTCCTCTACTTCTTTTGTATGTTTGTCACTCTCTGTGACCCGCTATTTCCAGGGTGCCTTGATGGTCGAAGCAGACTTTGTGCTGTTGAAGCTGGAGAGGTGAGCAGAGTAAGTCTGATTCCCTGTAAGGACTTCTCTGTTGACATCCACCCTTTGGTCCTCGTATTACGTTATGCAGTTGCGAGTGCCGTAAAACGTCTACTTAAAAAAAAAAATGACTTAATAGACTACTAGGGGTCGGGTCTGGTCGATCGCCAGACTCGTCGTCTGAAAAGAAACGCATTTGTTTTTTAGGTGACCCAGTGTGGTGGGATCGGCTTGTGCCATGATGGCCGCATTGCGCCCTCAATTTGGCTTGCAATGCGACCCGACTCGATGCGATTCCCCTAATGGGCACCCTGAATTAGTATTTTTATTATATAAAAGCTACTACTAAACTAGATTCTAGACATGAGTTCTTTGATTTGAAGTTGGCCTACAGGAACCATCCCTCCTTTTAAAGTTTTTGGCCTTAAGAGTACTGGATATTGATACTGACAAATAGCTGAAAAATACTTGGAATTGATGTTATCCGAAAAGAAGTGAGCATTCCATTCCCGCAGTGGGAATAATTTTTTTTGTTATTCCCACCCGGGTCAGGTCACTTCTCATCTTTCCTATCTATCTAGGTCTAGATTCTATTTTTATGAAATTTAATACAGACTGAAGGCCAACCTCTAAACCTGGGGGTGAAAATTAGAAGACATACATTGGCAGATCTAAGTAGATCTAAATCTGGTACGCCTCTACAATTTTATGGTGGGTCTGGAAATATTGAGCACGTTCAAATGAGAGTGCTAATGCTGAGGCCACTAAGGGGAAAAATGTCACTTTTTAGTTTTTGAATGCTTTATCTTATCAAATCAATCTCATTGAAAGCAAAGAAAAAGGCCAGAAATATGAATGGGAGTAAAACGAAATCATTAGAACACACACACCTTAGTAAAAAATGAAGTAAAATATTTTAAAATCCCCTCAGACTCCGGGAGGTGGGAATAAGAGAATTTTAAATGGCAGCTTTCCGAAAGAAAGTGAGAGATAGGCTGCTATTTCCTGGTACAGAATGAGCAGTAATATTTCACTTG